AGTACATGAACAGCTAGGACATACACTTCACCTGCTTTTTTAGGGATGGGGGTTTCAGTGTGTTGCCCATGGTAACCTTAAACTGGGCTTCAGTTGTCTTTCTGCCCCAGCCTCCCGAGTAGCTGGGACTACAGGCACACGACACTGTGCCCAGCTTACTCCAAGTGCTGTGTGAGAGGTATTAAACTGTGCTGTAAATGTGAGATTACATCCTGTAGAGATCAGTAGACAATCCGTGGAAGGGTGAACAGTTGTGGTGAGGCTCCTGGGATGAGTAGAATTTTTGACAATTAGACTTAGTGGGGTGAGTAATCTAGGAGAAGGGAATAGAATTGCCTATATGAAGGCGCAAGGGTGGAAAAGTGAGGATACATTCAGGTAACAGAGAGTATTCAGTTTTGTCTGGAGACCACTTTTAAGACCTCTGACAGCTCTGACATTTTCTTGTGTCATTACAAATAGTAGAAAATAGACGAGACAGGCCAGTTGGGTACCAGTTAAATGCTAGATTAAAATGTTTTTTGTCTAAGGAAAAGGATGATGAGGAGTCATGGAAGATTTTTTTAGTATAAGGGTAAGATTTGACTTTAGGAAAACTAATAATCTGGCAGGATTATAAAGGATGAATGAAAAGTAGGAAGTTTGGAGGCCAGGAGATGGTCCAAGAGCCTACCGCAACTGTCTAAATGAGAGATAACAGGGGCTGAAGTGTGGCAGTGTGGCAGATGAGATGGAAAGGAGACGGATTGAAGAGAAGTTTCAGATCGATCCTCAGTAGGAATTGATACTGGTATAATGTTGGGTGAATAAAAGTACAAGTCAAAGAATACTGCAGTGAAGGGCACCAGCAACAGTGGTTGGAAAGTGGCACAAGTTTGCAGGTGTGGGGAGAAAGAATGCTGTGTGAGGTGGAATTTGAAGTGCCAAGGGCCCCCTGAGAGGAGATGCGTGGCAGGCAGTTGGAAAAAGTAACAAAGACAGTGATACTGTCATTGCCCAAGGGGTTCTCACTGTTCAACTCCTATTTATGAGTAAGAACACGCAGTGTTTGGTTTTCTGTTCCTGTGTTAGTTTGCTGAGAATGATGGCTTCCAGCTTCATCCATGTCCCTGCAAAGGACATGATCTCCTTGTGGAAGACAGTGTGGTGATTCCTTAAGGATCTAGAACCAGAAATACCATTTGACTCAGCAATCTCATTGCTGGGTATATACCCAAAGGATTATAAATCATTCTAATATAAAGACACATGCACACGTATGTTTATTGCAGCACTATTTACAATAGCAAAGACTTGGAACCAACTCAAATGCCTGTCAGTGATAGTCTAGATAAAGAAAATGTGGCACATATACACTATGGAATAATATGCAGTCATAAATGCCTTTTTAAAAGTGGGCATGTGCTAGCCTAGTTGAAGATTCAACAAGGAGAGCAGTATGGCGGGAACAAAGTGAGAGGGGAATCATGTATAGTATGATCATCTTCATGTTTAAAAAAAACCTCCTCTGTGTGTGTGTGTGCGTGTACGTGTGTATATGCACAGAAAAAGGTCTGAGAATAATGCTAAAGTCCTGTTGCTTTTGAGCCTGGGTAAGGGATTACATGTGTGAGTGAATGAATGGGACTTTTTTCCTCTGTATCCTTCTTTGTCCTTTGAAATACATTTACTTTCAAAATGTATTACTTTTGTAATTTTTAAGTTAAAAAATAGGGAGAAATCAGATACCACATATTTCTGAAAGTTCCCAGGGAAGAATCCTGGAGGCAGTAGCATATTTGTTGCATTATAATCACACTGTACCTCTGTGGTGTGATAGGAACAGCTTCTAATGCATGCTATGCTGACCTTGGGAAACACACAGCATTTCTGAGCCTCAGTTTTCTTATACAGAAAATATAGGTAACACCTGACTTATTTATTGTATTGGAAAGTTGCAAAGATAAAACGTAAAATTGGTTTGAAAATTATAAAGCTCTGCAAAATGCAAAGAATATTTAATATTTCACATCCTAGTTAATGGCCCACTCTTTAAAGTAATAGTTCATAACATCAAAATTCAGGATCAAGCAGAGAATTTAAAGTCTCTTTTAGAATTTGTTGTAACAGAATTCTTCCTGTCCTGGTTAGGTCTTACATAGCAACAGCGTAGATACTTATTATTCTGGAGTGTTTTGTGTTTGCATGAGATTTTGGTGCAGATGGGTTTGGGCAATATCCTTAAATCATACCCTCATCCACTGCACTCAACTTAGAGTCAAACAACTTGGAGATACTAAATTAATTAGCAAGTTCTTACTTAGCACCTACTTTGTGCTTTGCAATCTCCTGTGGGTAGGTGACCAGACACCCGGGTTTGTCTGGCACTGTTACTGTTTTTGCTGTCTTTCCCATGTAATTGCTAATAGTGCCCCTTTCCCTCTCAAAAGTGTCCTAGTTTTAATGATCAATGATCACTCTACTATAACCACCTACGGGGTATGGAAGGAAACACAGGAAGCCTCTGGCTTACAAATGCCAGACTTACAAGTTTCTTTCCCCATCTTACCTCCTCACCACTGGAAATGTCAGTATTACTTCTAGGCAGGGGACATTGTGAAAACTGTGGGTCTTTTGGAGACTTGGTGGACTTAGAAGTCAAGGAAGAACCAAGCCTGAGAAGAGGTGGTGTGGAGCTCCAGAGGCCCAGCCCACAAGTTGTCCTCCTTTGCAAAATCTTCTCCCTCAAACTATGTTTCTTTATTGCATTGCCTAATCCTCCTGGTCAGAGGTTTATTTGAGGAAAATAAACATTGTATTTTTAATAGGACAAACAGGTTGGGGAATGTTCAACGAAACTGAGTTTTTTTTCTTCTCCTGACATGGAGCTGATGTCTGCTTATACAGGGGAAAGGGAGTGATTTTGGGAGAAAGAGGGATGAAAAGGATAAAGTCATTTTGGAGCATGAGGTATTCTGGGGAGTGAGACTCTCCCTTAGGGCAAACTAGGGACCCAGAGAGCCAGGGGGCCATGAAGGTAGGAGGCAGAAGGGAAGATGGATGTCAGAGACATACGATAGTTATTTTGGAGAAAATGCTGACTTGTGCACAACTCATTATCTTGGGAAATGAAAGGAACGTACTTTTTCTGTCACCTGCCGTTCCTCCTCATCCTCCACTGCCTTATGTAGCCCAGTACGAGGAATTGAAGCCAGTGCTAGGCTATGTGCTGCAGGCCTGACAGTGAGACTTGTATTATGACATTGCTTCTGCAGGAGCTCTTGGGTCCAATCAATGAGTTTATCACGACATCTTGAAACACACTCATTTTAAAGTTGGGAGCTGCCTTTATAAGACATGGTCCCTACCCTGGAGGAATTCACAGTGACTAGATTTAAGAGAGACCAGTTAATAAATAGGAAACTACTGGAGAATAATCATTTGTCAGCTGTAGTATATTGGCTTTAAGTAAAATGCAAATTTATGCTAGGGGTGGTATGTCAGTTCATTAGAATTCTCACGTAGGACAGTATGACTGATCTATGCTAAGAATATCCTTGGATAGTGAAGGAGGAAAGAGAAAATACTAAGTAGTGATGGAAGTCACCTGGAGCCAACGTTTGGCATCAGACATGAGCATGGACAGGATAAGCTTCGAGGAGGAATCAGGCCTGATGGAAGCAAAATGGCTTTCTAAGAAGCAGTGGGACATTGGCATGGCTAAAGTAAGATGGGGTCAAACATTTCCTGTAAATTGAAGTTCATAAAATACATAACTCGAAATTTGTACACATTTCAGGTGACTGAACACTGAGACAATAAATCTTGACATAGTTTTTCAGGGGCATGATTTAATGTGGCTAAAGTCCAGATGAGGTGAGGATCGGATCTTGGAAGAATGGGAATCCATATTAAGGACTTTGGATTTGATGAAAGAGTCCATATATGGTGTTATTGGAAATGTTTCATTAGGGCTGGAACATAGGCCTGCAGCTGGCACACAGGATGAAGGCGGAAGAAGTCAGGGAGACCACTTAGGAAGCTGCTATGATAGGCCAGGAGTGAGGAGCTGAGTACCTGGACCAAGAGGGAAGCAGTGGCAGATTGGAGAAAGAACACATCTGAGAGTCGCTATTGAGTTGCAAATGATAGGACTTATAAATCACATGGGATGAGCCAGAGAAAGTCTTTAGGTTTCTCCGGGTAACGTAAGCATAAGAGAAACACTATTAGAAGTTCATGTTCCCATGAAACTTCCTTACCTGTGGAGTCTCCCATGCCCTCCTGGTGAACCTCCATTTCTAAGGAAACCCTATAGCATCTATTGAATAACTTAATTCGGCAAAAATTCAGACTTCTCCAATGGAAGTGTTTAAGCCTGTATTCACTAACTTAATTTTACAAAATTAGGTTAGCAGATACGTGCTATAAAGTTTCTAACCCAAGAGACAAGACTGTAATTCATTCTATTGCTAGTTTTCGTGGAGGGTAGTGACAATTGCCAGCGGTTCAAAAAAGAGTAACATGTCCGGAGTTTGTTCACACAGAAATGAATAGTTTTTAGCTTCATAACCCCTGTGCCCTTCCTGTGAACCTCATCTCCACAGGAAACCTAGTACCAATTTACTAACTTAATTTGTAAAAGGAGGTTAGTGAATCAATGCTCTATGTCTCATGGAAATATTTGAAATTAATTAGCCTTGTCAGCTTTTATTTGCGTAGACTCTCTTTCAACCTTATCCCTCAGCCCAAGTACAACTTTTTAGTAAGATTGATTTTAAACAATGAGACTTAGAGAATCTGTGTACAAGGAGCTTGAATAATTTAAATGCGTGGGTTTATTATTAACACAGCAGCAAGTATATCAAGGAAACACGCCCCATGAAAAGTGTTTCAAAGTAACACAAGTCTGTTCTGAGAAAGGTCTATACACAGTAAGTAAGCCCAAAGAGGCATATTTGCTTGGCGATGCCCAGCAGATAAGCCTGGCAAACCTTGCTGTGATTGAAGAAGCCAATTTGAGGCTCAGCCTAGTCCAGGCAAGCTACTGGCACCAGCTGCTCTCAGCTAACCTCCACACAATGGTGTTCGCATTTTGGAAGGTCTTTCTGGTCCTAAGCTGCCTTACAGGTAAGGAAAGAATCTCCGAACCACCAAAGATAATTGGAAACGAAATTTCCATAATTCCGTTAAGATAATTTAAACAAAAATTGCATATTTTTACATAGAATTTTCCTCTCCTGCACTTCAAATGAATTGTGATTATGCTGAGTGAAATAATTTTCAGAACTCTTGCTTAGCAAACATATGCCATGCTGATATTTTAGGAGGGCAAGCCCATAATACAGTCGTTTTATGGAGCTTCTGAATGAAAATTTTCTCAGAAAAAATAATAGTTTATTTCTTTACTTAGTTTGAAAGATGAACAAATGAATTTACTCAGAAACCAAAGTTTGTGCTAGGGATAATTTCGTCTCTGTTTTACTTACTTTAGTGTTTCCTTTAAGCTCAGTGGTTGACTTGCCTTGCTCCATCAGGCAGAGCCTGGGTTGGAGGGCCTGCCCTGGCTTACACGTGGGAAGAAAATAAATTTACCAAGTGCTTTACTGGCTAATATTTCTTAGGGAGTTGTGGTTTTCCAATCCTAAGACTGTATTTTGGAAAATATGTGAGTGAGTTATGGTGCATAATATGGGTGATTTTAGGTATCTGAACAGAAGAAAATCAATTTTGGAATCAAAATACTGTTGTTAGTTATATCTCAGAGAGATCACTAATTCCGAAAATCCCTTGGCTAGTTTTTTCAAATATCAGATACATTTTGCATCTGTTCTTGTGATAAGTTAGGTCCATAGTAAATGCAGTAATATTGTTTATCCAAAACAGGATTTTTTTTTTTTTTAAGATAGAGTCTTGCTCTGTTGCCCAGGCTGGAGTGCAGTGGTGTGATCTTGGCTCACTGCAACCTTTGCCTCCCGGGTTCAAACAATTTTCCTGACTCAGCCTCCCAAATAGCTGGTACTACACGTGCGTGCCATCACGCCTGGCTGTTTTTTTTGTGTTTTTCGTAGACACGGGGTTTCACCATGTTAGCTAAGATGGTCTTGATCTCCTGACCTCATGATCCAACCGTCTTGGCCTCCCAAAGTGCTGGGATTACAGGCGTGAGCCACTACACCTGGCCCCAAAACAGGATTTTTGTAAACCATTAGTAATGTTAGGCAGTCGTTAGAATGAGGTTTACTAGGCATATTTAATGACATAAGAAAATGCCCAGGATATAATATTAAGTGAAAAAGGACACACACACATGCCTAGAATAAATTACTAGAAGGTTATATACTAAAGTGCTCATGGTGGTTGCCTCTGGGTGATGGGATTATAGATGATTTTAATTTTATTCTCCAGCTTTTCATACTTCCTGGGTTTTCTACAAAGAAGATTATGCTATTTTTGTAATCAGAAAAAAGTGTTACTTATCAAAATGATCTCATGTTTAGAAATAGTTCTTTAAATGTTCATTACTAAATGTTTAAGCATAGATGTTTTATGAAATCAAATATCACCAGAAGGCAGTACTGCATTTGTTGAGTGACCTAACTAGGCCCTAGAGCTGGAAACACGTGTTTCTATTTTCCCTTCTCCTCAGGAATATTCATTTAAATTTAACTTTAGATACGAAAGTTTTTGTCTCTTCTTAAAGGGTTTCCAGTCATTAGCCAGTTGGGTTGACACCTGGGCCTTCTGCTTCAGCCCTCTAAGATCATACCTGCTTCCCTATGAGAGGCCTTGACCTGGCCCATACTAGACACAGGGTTTGGGAAGGTTGTAAGAACAATTTGTTTGTTTGCTTACTGTACGTAACATACAGGTAATTTTTACTGATTATAAATGTAATGTACGATCATTATAGAAAGGTTGGAAAATATGGAAATGTAAAATAAAATAAAAATCATCTGCAATTTTACCACTCAGATTTGGGTGAATTATCATTCTTTTCAGGTGTATATATTACATTTTAAAAATTGGGTTTACTCCTTGTAGACTTTTTTATTGTTTAAAAAATTATTTAATATGATGTCAGGATCTTACTGGATTGGAACTTTTAGAACAAGGCCCAATCAAAGTGACCAGTACATACTTCAGAGTGTTTTTCTTAAGTTACTATATAACTGGTTTTGTTGGTATATAATGTACACTGTAGACCGATACATGTATTACCTTGTTGGCCCAAAGCAAAATATGGTAGTGTAAGTACAGCAAACTGTGGTATGATATATTGTCGTTTTCTGTGCTTACATATGTATCGAAGTCAGAGAAAGGATCACTTTAGTAATTTACACCTGTCATTAGCAGTGTTCATCAGTTGATCTGGACAATCGATAATGTTTCCTTCGATGTGCAATTTGATGTTCTTCCTGGACTTGTTTTGGAGAGAATGTCACTTTTTGGTGTTAAGCATGGTGCCTAACACATAGTGGGTGCAAAGTAAATGTTTGTTGAAAGAATGAATTGCTTTCCCAGATTCCAAACATTCAGACATGATTTTCATATACATAATTAAAATCGATTTTGGTATAACTAAACAGGACAGATTTTGATTAAATCAAAATATTTTCAGTGACTTCTTAGGAATTCTTAGGTTAAATTCTAATTCAAGAAAATGAGTTTTAATCAAACTGTTTTTACTACAAAAATTTTAAGCATATCATTTTAGGTAATTGTAATATGTATTAGTCATCTCTTAGAAAGATATGTTAATGTGGGTTTCATTTTCTGGAGGTATATGCTATGCATTTTAAAGCAGTAATATATTTGAACTTTGAGTTTGCAGTCAAATCCAAAAAAGTGAGTAATCATTTGATTATATTATTTCCTAACTCAAAATGAAGCAATTATATATGAAGTTGCTGGAAATTAAATCCCTTCAAATGCAATAGATTAAATGTGGCCATTTGGGGGATATTTTGCTGTAGTATATTAGGAGAATAATAATCCTATAAACAAAATGCTTTCCACATTGCAGGCATTAAATAAATGAATGAACAATCACTACTAGAACAGAAGACATTTAAAAATATTTTAAAACGTTGATTAATTTAAGTGTGTACATCTTGGATTATTTTTCTTGAATAATAAGCAATGGTTTTTAAAAGAGATTACACGATTTCAACCACATATGCCTTTTTGTTTTGTTTTGTGTTTTAATTTGGTCAGGTCAGAGAGGGACATTGCATTCTGGGTTTTGTTTAAATCAGATACTAATCTTTATTTTGCTATTTATTCACAGTCCTGTTAATGTAGAGATTTTTCTGACTTGCTCAATTTTTAAATAATTTCTCGATTTAGAATGAATTAATCCAAAGGAAGGGAACTTTTTCCCTGACATTCACAGAACCACCTCCAGTTTAGGACTAAATTTGCACTGTCCATTGTCCACATGTGACTATTGGAATTTAATTCAGATTAATGAAAATTGTAAAGTCAGTTCCTCAGTTTCTCTAGCCACATTTCAGGTGTTCAATAACTCTGTGTGGGCTACTGGATTGCATGGTGCAGAGACAGAACATTTCCATCATCACAGAAATGTCTGTTGGACAGCACTGTAAGGATGAGCTCAGGGGTTTTAAGTATTGTGCACTAATTGAATGATGTGACATTTTAAAAAGGCTTATTTGGAAATATACAGCTTTTAGCTCTGAAACGTATCATCACTGTATCTTGGTTGGATAATGTCTGAAAACCACTTTTTCTTCAGAATTTAATTGGTTGTGATGCTAAGAATTGAGAATCTGGGCAATAAAATGGTCTGGAGGTTTTGCCTTGCTAATTGTTACTTATTTATAGGACAATGTGTAGTACCTAAAAAAAAAATTGTCTCACTTTAAAATTTGAAATTACCATCCTAATTCCAAGGTGATGTTATTAAACTTTTGCAGATTTACATATCTTCTATATTTAAAATGTTAGAAATGTTTGAATCAGATTTATATTTCCCAAATCCCTGATTTTCTTTCACCTCCATTCTGGTCTGTGCTATAAATGGCTTCCTGCTACATTGACATGGCAGAGATTGTGTCTGTCGGGTTCATTACCTTTTCCCCAGTGTTTAGCACTGTTTGTGGCACAAAATGGGCGCTCAACTGGTATTTGTTGCTAGGCTCCACAGCCTCTTCCAAGGCTTGACTTATGTGACTACTGTGCGTACTGTGGCATCAAGTACTTTTTCTAAGAGTGGCTTCCAAAGGAGGTTTGTGGGGTTTTGTTTATTTGTTTGTTTTGCCTTACCTGGTCATAAATTCTCACCCTTAGCCAATCTCATAACAGATACTGGGTCCCATACTAGAGAACAAAAATAATAGGCAAATGGTATCTGTTAAATCTCTGTTTTTAAGGAATAGGTCTGGGAATGTTAAGGGCTACCAAATCCCTAGTTTTATCATTTTTATTTTGGACACTTTAAAGACATTTGGAAGTCATCATTTAAACACAGCCAGAGATGTGGCTAAGTTCCAGGAGAAATTAAATGGGCTCCTTGAGGGTGGGAGGGAACCATCTTTCTCCAATGAAGTTTTTGTTGGAAAGATTAGCTGCTTTCTGAAAGCCAATTTCCGTTTTGGAGGAGGCATTATGGAAACCAGGAAAGCATGGGGTGGAGAATATTGGGAAGAGGGAAACTGTATGGAGTTAAAAGTACTGCATTTGTGTCTGCATTCAGGCACTTTCTTTAATTTATCAATACATCGGTTGCCATGTGAACAGTCAGCTTCTCGCAGGCAAGCAGCTGGGCCAGGTGGCTTGGCTGTGACAGAGAACACAGATATTGAATCTGAGAAACCAAGAGTAATCAGTGAAATGGTTTGCTTTTCTTTTACTTTTTAAAAATTTTTGTAAATCCTTTACATTCTTTTTATCTGACTGCTATCATTAAATAAGAAAAATATGAAATAAAGAAGTCTTTGGGTATACAAAATTGGGAAGATGGACAGAATTAGTCCCTCTGTGCAAGTTCCTCTGGGTCTCTCATAATTTCTGTATCTTCCTCTTCCCACTCCCAACTCTCTACCGCCCTCTATTACCCTGCAGGCAGCTAGGGCAGCATAGAGAACATCGCTTGAACTTGACTTTCT